TACCTGAAATCTTGCATGTTTATGAAACAGAAAAAAGCACACCAGCAATCCTACTATCATGTAATACAATTACAGTTATATGCATTTAAAAGTGGAAAAAATGGTCCTCTACTTTCTGACAGTAGCCTAGAACCTAACCTTCCATATAAGTGAGGCCCTACTGTATGTTGGAGTATGATTACAAGCTTTTGCAATTATAACATTTTTGGGTAACTAAGCCTTCAGATAAACCCTAAAATGAAAGCGAATTGAAGTATCAGGTTTATTTTTTCTTTTTAACACATTGGCCATCTCTGACCGAGGCAGGATGACCCAAAAAAAGAAAAACACTTTTCAACATCATTCTCACATAATCACTGTCTTCGCAGAGGCACCCAGATACGACAGTTTAGATGTCATTCCAAACAACCCATATCCCAAACCCCTCCTTTAAAGTGCAGTCATTGTACTTTCCACCTCCAGGACTCAAGTGTAGCTAACCAGTTTCCCTGAATTCCTTCACAAAATGTTACCCTGCTCCCACTCCAACAACTCATCAGGTCCCAAAAACTATTACTTTCCATTCACTCACATCTTACATGCTCACACATGCCTGCCATATGTATTAACCCTTTCAGGATCTGTACTGTAGTTCTACAGCTTCGAAGCTAGTGTCAGTGCCATAGTTTTATGCCATGAGCTCATCTTGCTTAGATAAGCTGTGAGCAGTAAATTTGGGCCACAGTTTGGTACCCACAGTTAGTGGCTACAGGAAAGTGGGTGCAGGAGGGAAGAGGAGCGATTGGTGGAATGATGATGTAAAGAGAGTAGTAAGGGAGAAAAAGTTAACATATGAGAAGTTTTTACAAAGTAGAAGTGATGCAAGGAGGGAAGAGTATATGGAGAAAAGAGAGAGGTTAAGAAGAGTGGTGACAAAGCATGTAAAAAGAGAGCAAATGAGAGAGTGGGTGAGATGTTATCAACAAATTTTGTTGAAAATAAGAAAAAGTTTTGGAGTGAGATTAACAAAGTTAAGGAAAGCCTAGAGAAACAAATGGATTTGTCAGTTAAAAATAGGAGGAGGAGAGTTATTAAATGGAGAGTTGAGGTATTGGGAAGATGGTGGGAAATATTTTTGAGGAATTGTAAATGTTGATTGAAGATACCCCTATGGGAAGCTGTGATTTCGATGTATAGGGCAAGGAGGAATAACATCTTTGTAGATGATGGAAGAGCCAGTTGTGAGTGTGGGGGAGTTCGTCAGGCCAGTAGGTAAAATGAAAGGGGGTAAGGCAGCTGCGGATTGATGGGATAAAGATAGAAATGTTAAGTAAGCAGGTGGGGATATAGTTTTGGAGTGGTTGGGGCAATTATTTTAATAAATGTTTGGAAGAGGTTAAGGTACCTAGGGATTGGCAGAGAGCATGCATAGTTCCTTTGTATAAAGGCAAAGGGGATAAAAGAGAGTGCAAAAATTATAGGGGGATAAGTCTGTTGAGTATACCTGGTAAAGTGCTATGGTAGGAGTTATAATGAAAGAATTAAGAGTAAGACGGAGAATAGGATAGCAGATGAACAGGAGGCTTTAGGGAAAGGTAGGGGGTGTGTGGACCAGGTGTTTACAGTGAAATATATACGTGACAGTATTTAGTTAAGGCTAAAGAGGTCTTAGTGGCATTTAATGGATTTGGAAAAGGCGTAGACAGGGTGGATAGGGGGGCAATGTGGCAGATGTTGCAAAGTGTATGGTGTAGGAGGTGTTACTGAAAGCAGTGAAGAGTTTTTTACGAGGATAGTGAGGCTCAGGTTAGAGTATGTAGGAATGAAGGAAATTTTATCCCAGTAAAAGTAGGCCATAGATAAGGATGTGTGATGTCCACCGTGGTTGTTTAATATATTTTATAGATGGGGTTGTTAAGAGAAGTAAATGCGAGGGTCTTGGCAAGTGGCGTGGAGTTAAAAGATAAAGAATCACACACATAGTGGGAGTTGTCACATGCTGCTCTTGCTGATGACACTGTGCTCTTGGGAGATTCTGAAAGAGTAGTTGCGAGATTGGGGATGAATTTGGTATGGGTGTGCTAAGAAGAAATTAAAGGTGAAATACAGGAAAGAGTAAGGTTTATGAGGTAACAAAAGATTAAGGTGATGAAAGATTGGATATTCTGATTGGAGGGAGAGAGTATGGAGGAGGGGACGTATTCAGATATTTGGGATTGGACGTGTCAGGGGATGGGTCTATTGAAAGATGAGGTGTAATATAGAATTGATGAGGGAAAAGAGTGAGTGGTGCACTTAGGAGTCTGTGGAGACAAAGAGCTTTGTCCTTGGAGGCAAACCGGGGAATATATGAGAGTATAGTTTTACCAACGCTCTGTTTGTAGGGTGTGAAGCGTGGGTGATGAATTTGCGCGAGGAGAGGCTGGAGGCAGTGGAGGATGTTCATGTATGGGCAATGTGTGGATTTGAATATAATGCAGAGAATTGTAGTTTGGAGTTAGGAGGAGGTGCGGATTACCAAAACTGTTGTCCAGAGGGCTGGAGGAAGGGTTGTTGAGGTGGTTCTGGACATGTTAGAGAGGAATGGAGCGAAAACAGAATGACTTCAAGAGTGTATCAGTCTGTAGTGGACGCAAGGAAGGCGGGGTAGGGGTCGGCCTAGGAAAGGTTGGAGGGAGGGGGTAAAGGGGTTTTGTGTGCGGAGGGGCTTGGATTCCGCAGGCATGGCATGAGCGTGTTTGATAGGAGGTGAATGGAGGGACAAATGGTTTTTAATACTTGACGTGCTGTTGGAGTGTGAGCAAGTACATTTATGAAGGGATCATGGGAAACCGGCAGTCGGATTGAGTCCTGGAGATGGGAAGTACAGTGCCTGCACTCTGAACCGGAGGGGTGTTAATGTATGCAGTTTAAAAAGCTGTAGTTGTAAGAGCACCTTTTGGCAAGACAGTGATGGAGTGAATGATGGTGAAAGTTTTTCTTTTTCGGGCCACCCTGCCTTGGTGGGAATCGGCCAGTGTGATAATAAAAAATAAAATAATAGTTAGTGGCTAGGCTTCAAGCACCCTTTTATTAATACAGCCATAAAGGTAATGGAACAGACTGCTGCACATGTCAAAGCCAGTCATAGCATGAACCAGTTGAAGAAGAGAGCCAAAAGGTGCCTGATGAATGTAGCTTCAGAAAGGGAGGGGAATGATTTATTTTTTTTAGCTAACACAAGTGTAATTTTTCTAGGTAGTAGATTGGTAGACAGCAACTGCCCAGGAAGGTACTGCCGTCTTGCCAAGTGAGTGTAAAACAGAAGCCTGTAATTGTTTTACATGATGGTAGGATTGCTGGTGTCTTTTTTCTCTCTCATACACATGCAAAATTTCAGCTACATCTTGCTACTTCTACTTACACTTAGGTCACACTACACATACATGTACAAGCATATATATACATACCCCTCTGGGTTTTCTTCTATTTTCTTTCTAGTTCTTGTTTATTTCCTCTTATCTCCATGGGGAAGTGGAACACAATTCTTCCTCTGCGTTTTGTAGGAGGTGACTAAAATGCCGGGAGCAAGGAGCTAGTAACCCCTTCTCCTGTATATATTATTGATTGTAAAAGGAGTAACTTTCATTTTTCCTTTTGGGCCACCCCGCCTCATGTAGTAGATAGTCTTAATGGTTTGATAATAAGATGTTATCTCCTTTATAGAATAATAATAAGATATTATCACCTTTATAATGTAATACAGTGGACCCCCGGTTAACGATATTTTTTCACTCCAGAAGTATATTCAGGTGCCAGTACTGACCGAATTTGTTCCCATAAGAAATATTGTGAAGTAGATTAGTCCATTTCAGACCCCCAAACATACACGTACAAACGCACTTACATAAATACACTTACATAATTGGTCGCATTCGGAGGTAATCGTTATGCGGGGGTCCACTGTAATAAGGTAAAAGGACCCTTGCGGAAATAAGTCACTGTCTGACTTTTTTGCTATGTATGATAATTTATGTAACTGTATTTGTGTATACCTGAATAAACTTACTTACGTAGATACAAAAGAATGGGTCTATGAGGAGAGGAAAAAAAAAGTGCATCTATGTTTTTAGTTTAAAACATCGACTTTGTGGTGTATTTTTGTATGGCTTTTATGGTTGTAGTCACGATTTCATGGTATCATTTGATACAATGGAAGATATATTACAGAGATAGAGATGATTTTGATTGATTTTCAGACTAAAAATAGGTTGAAATTTAGCTCATAGCAGAAATGTCTAACATCTGTTAATGTTCAAGAGTAAACAAATGACATCACGTGTCCAATACATGTCAACTGGTCTTTCTGATATACATGCATGAATGCATTGATATTATTTATACAGTTACAATATTGTATAACAGTAAATCTTCTATTTTTCGGTGTGAATAAAAATTCTTTGTGTGAATAAATTTAAATGGAATTCATGTATAAAGCCCGGAAACATAACTAATGAGCGGAGGAAATATTTTAGTTCCAGGAATGTGTGCATTGTTTATTCTAGACCCTATTTTGAAATTGTATATTTTGAAATTTGTGAAATTGGCCAAATTACCAGTTTCTGATCACTTTATTGGATAGTTGAAATAGTTAATTGAGTGATTTTTTGTGCTTATTCGATAAAATGGAAAGCATACTAATGAAATAGCTAAGAATTTGTCGATTGGAACAATGTAATTGGCCTAAATTAGGACTCAAAATGGGCAAAATTGTTGATACGTAAGTATCATTGACACAGCAAAATTCACCTAAGCATAATTTCATCAGTATTCCATCAGTTTTTGTACTTTTTTTAGTACCTTCAGGGAAAGATTTTCTACCATTTCATAAGAAAAAAGAATTTTTTTTTTTTTTTTATTCTTGGATCTTGTGGACAATTTTCAGATTGGGGGGGTTCTGGACCCTGAAAGGGTTTAATTAACATAGATTATCTAAGAGTTGAAAATAATTAATTTGGCCTATAATAAGCTTTAATTTTTTCAGATTCCAAGTCTAGGTTGCACGTGTTCCATCCCTGTGGCTCGAGCTGACAAAAGATATTTTGAAGTGGATCGTGAAGGTGGGGATAAGTGGGGTCTAGTGGCCAACATATCTGTGGACAGTGGGTGTAAGATCATCACACTCAGCTCCTGTGTGCAGGTGCCCACTTGCTGCTTATTATATCTTATTTTGTTAATCACACTGTTTTATCTAGCACAGTGGTGTGTGTTTTCTTCATTATTCCATTAAAAAATCGTAAGTTTGTGAATGCTTAACATCCCAAAACACTTGGGAGGATAACTGCCATCCTGGATAATATAACACATACTCTGTGAGTGAGTCATCATACAGTTAAAGCAGTATGCAGCATGTCTCAGGTGATTTAATCTGAAGCTATGTAATGAAATTAATAAACAAGCATGATTAGCTGTTAATAAATTATGTCTAGGCAGCACCTATTAACACCATGCCTATGATTTTCTCCTAATCAACTTCCAGTATGAAACTTGGGCATGAATAAAGTCCTACTGATGATAGTATCTGTCCAGTGCCATAGTACACACAGTACATTACATTGCTTAAATATTGGAACCTGTTGCTCCCCCATACATTATGGTCATGTGATGTTTTGTACATGAACATTTTACTTGTATTCATGTATTGTAATGGTGTATGGTAGTGTGTCCACCAGCCCTAACTAAGTGAGGACTATCAAGAGAAGATACCTTGATACTAGTGAGGGGATTTTGATAGAAGGAATTTGATCTGTCCTCCCTTTCCTTGGACTGAGCCTGATTCTCACATTATGTTAGGTGATTTTTGATTCTTATGGGTTTGATGATTCCTTCCCCTCCTTAGAATGTAATATTAATAATACTAGAATGAGATCTCCAGTATTGAAGAAAAGTGCCTAATCTCAGGTTTCATCATTATTTCTCCTTAAATTTCAGCTAGGAGCTGAGGTACCAAGTCTGAAATGTTTCCACCCATGGTGGACCATGGAAACTTGTCACAAAAAATTGTAAATTAAATGAATTCAAACCAAAACTAATAAAATTGTTTGGCTTAAGTAGTTTATTTAGGTAATTTTTTAAAACCCATTAACTATTTTGTATTTATTTTAATCTTTAAATACACCATATATCATTGCTTCTTAATTTTAACTGAATTTTTAACTTTTATATTAATATTGTTCTGTCCATGTCCACAAGGAAATTCATAATTTAAAAAAATGTGCTTGTTCTTGTATCTAATTGTTTGTTACCCATCCAGTTAAGAATATTAAAGATTAGATACTTTATCATTTAAATCTATTGATCATCATTACTTTGACAGTATTTCTATTCAAATTTTTTTGTTTGATCAATATTTAAAAGGTATTTTCATTAGCTGTAAATCATTGAAGCTCTTGAAAAAAAAAAAATCCAAATAATAATCTTTTTAAAGAACTAGATATATATTCAAGTCTAATGATTTTTTTTTTTTTAAATTTCATTTAGGTAAATACTTTCGGTAGAAGTATTTATATAGAAGTCAATTGGGAAATTTGCTGATTTGAAGCTCCTCTTTAAATTGCCTTGCATGTCAGTTTATTTTTCTTCTTGCCTATTAATGTATATCGCTAGTTTTTATTTATACATTCCATACTGTTTGTCCTACAGTGACCTTCATCCAATTTTTTTATTATCCTTCTTTTTCATAAAATTTTGTACTGTGACATTTGATGATGCATTTTTCTCAGATGTTGAAATTTGTGTTAATATTAGGGTATTAACATTACCATTGATGACTTTAACAGGTGACCAACCATTTGGATGTAACTGTGGATGTGTACTACATGACACAGAGAGGAAATGAAGTAGAGTTCATCTTATCACTTGAACAAGAAGAGAGTGCAATGTTACCACTCTATGCTGTGCACACACCAACTGCTGAGCTCTTTTTCTCTGTTAAAGGGTTAGTTTTACTCATTTATATTAATGATTTTAAAATGATAATTAGAATTGCAAAAAGTTAATGATGTTCACGAATAGATATTTCTTCTTCTTTCAACATACCAGCCGTATCCCACCGAGGCGGGGTGGCCCAAAAGAAAAAACTAAAGTTTCTCTTTTTAAATTTAGTAATATATACAGGAGAAGGGGTTACTAGCCCCTTGCTCCCGGCATTTTAGTCGCCTCTTACAACACGCATGGCTTACGGAGGAAGAATTCTGTTCCACTTCCCCATGGAGGTAAGAGGAAATAAACAAGAACAAGAACTAGAAAGAAAATAGAAGAAAACCCAGAGGGGTGTGTGTGTGTATATATATGCTTGTACATGTATGTGTAGTGTGACCTAAATGCAAGTAGAAGTAGCAAGACATACCTGAAATCTTGCATGTTTATGAGACAGACAAAAGACACCAGCAATCCTACCATCATGTAAAACAATTACAGGCTTTCGTTGTACACTCACTTGGCAGGACGGTAGTACCTCCCTGGGTGGTTGCTGTTTACCAACCTACTACCTAGAACGAATAGATATATAAAAGCAATTGTGAGATATGCAGAGATAACATTTTCTTCAATAATTTGAAGCTCCTGTCTCATGTATTTTTATTTTGTACTTTCAGTAAGATAGGTGTATTGAACAATGTATATAAATTATATAATAGTTAAATTACTGTTAATGAAACAATTTTAATGACTACCAGTGGAGTAGGTTTCAGACTTCTGATGTTCCGACTTGCAATGTTGTGCATTTACGATATTGGCACTCTGGAACTAATTACTTAGGAACAAGTGACTTGCATTAAAGCCATAAATGCAACATCCTGCTCCATATCCATATCTAAGTAGTGTTCACTTGTATGCCTCAATGTAAACCCCTAATTATTTCAGAAATAATTATACTGTACATTTTACTTTGTATATTCATTAGGTTTATTCCACTACACTTCTTAAATCTATCCTATCCCTTTTGACCTTACATAAAGGAACTATGCATGCCTTCTGTCTTTAGGTACCTTCCCTTTTTTACTCATATATTGAACAAGGTGATGGGGATAACCAAAAAATTAGGTAACAGAAGATTGGAAATCAGATTGGAGGAAGAGAGTATGGAGAGGTGAATGTATTCAGATATTTGAGAGTGGATGTGTCAGCAGATGGGTCTATGAAAGATGAAAATCATACAACTTACGAGGGGAAAAGGTGAGTGGTGCAATGAGGAGTCTGTGGAGACAAAGAAGTTTACCCATGAAAGCAAAGAGGGGAATGTATGAGAATATACATAGTTATACCAATACTGTAGTAGGTTGGTAGACAGCAACCACCCAGGGAAGTACTACCGTCCTGCCAGATGACTGTGAAACAGAAACCTGTAACTGTTTATGATGGTAGGATTGCTGGTTTCTTTTTCTATCTCATAAACACGCTAGATAACAGGGATATCTTGCTACTCCTACTTACACTTTGGTCACACTTCACAGACACGCACATGCATATGTATATATACATACATCTAGGTTTTTCTCCTTTTTCTAAATAGCTCTTGTTCTTCTTTATTTCTTCTATTGTCCATGGGGAAGTGGAAAAGAATCTTTCCTCCGTAAGCCATGCGTGTCGTATCAGGCGACTAAAATGCTGGGAGCAATGAGCTAGTAACCCCTTCTCCTGTAGACATTTACTAAAAAAGAGAAGAAGAAAAACTTTATAAAACTGGGATGCTTGAATGTGCATGGATGTAGTGCGGATGACAAAAAACAGATGATTGCTGATGTTATGAATGAAAAGAAGTTGGATGTCCTGGCCTTAAGCAAAACAAAGCTGAAGAGGGTAGGGGAGTTTCGGTGGGGGGAATAAATGAGATTAAATCTGGAGTATCTGAGAGAGTTAGAGCAAAGAAAGGGGTAGCAGTAATGTTGAAGGATCAGTTATGGAAGGAGAAAAGAGAATATGAATGTGTAAATTCAAGAATTATGTGGATTAAAGTAAAGGTTGGATGCGAAAAGTGGGTCATAATAAGCGTGTATGCACCTGGAGAAGAGAGGAATGCAGAGGAGAGAGAGAGATTTTGGGAGATGTTAAGTGAATGTATAGGAGCCTTTGAACCAAGTGAGAGAGTAATTGTGGTAGGGGACCTGAATGCTAAAGTAGGAGAAACTTTTAGAGAGGGTGTGGTAGGTAAGTTTTGGGGTGCCAGGTGTAAATGATAATGGGAACCCTTTGATTGAACTTTGTATAGAAAGGGGTTTAGTTATAGGTAATACATATTTTAAGAAAAAGAGGATAAATAAATATACAAGATATGATGTAGGGCGAAATGACAGTAGTTTGTTGGATTATGTATTGGTAGATAAAAGACTGTTGAGTAGACTTCAGGATGTACATGTTTATAGAGGGGCCACAGATATATCAGATCACTTTCTAGTTATAGCTACACTGAGAGTAAAAGGTAGATGGGATACAAGGAGAATACAAGCATCAGGGAAGAGAGAGGTGAAGGTTTATAAACTAAAAGAGGAGGCAGTTAGGCTAAGATATAAACAGCTATTGGAGGATAGATGGGGTAATGAGAGCATAGGCAATGGGGTCGAGGAGGTATGGGGTAGGTTTAAAAATGTAGTGTTAGAGTGTTCAGCAGAAGTTTGTGGTTACAGGAAAGTGGGTGCGGGAGGGAAGAGGAGCGATTGGTGGAATGATGATGTGAAGAGAGTAGTAAGGGAGAAAAAGTTAGCTTATGAGAAGTTTTTACAAAGTAGAAGTGATGCAAGGAGGGAAGAGTATATGGAGAAAAAGAGAGAGGTTAAGAGAGTGGTGAAGCAGTGTAAAAAGAGAGCAAATGAGAGAGTGGGTGAGATGTTATCAACAAATTTTGTTGAAAATAAGAAAAAGTTTTGGAATGAGATTAACAAGTTAAGAAAGCCTAGAGAACAAATGGATTTGTCAGTTAAAAATAGGAGAGGAGAGTTATTAAATGGAGAGTTAGAGGTATTGGGAAGATGGAGGGAATATTTTGAGGAATTGTTAAATGTTGGTTAAGATAGGGAAGCTGTGATTTCGTGTATAGGGCAAGGAGGAACAACATCTTGTAGGAGTGAGGAAGAGCCAGTTGTGAGTGTGGGGGAAGTTCGTGAGGCAGTAGGTAAAATGAAAGGGGGTAAGGCAGCTGGGATTGATGGGATAAAGATAGAAATGTTAAAAGCAGGTGGGGATGTAGTTTTGGAGTGGTTGGTGCAATTATTTAATAAATGTATGGAAGAGGGTAAGGTACCTAGGGATTGGCAGAGAGCATGCATAGTTCCTTTGTATAAAGGCAAAGGGGATAAAAGAGAGTGCAAAAATTATAGGGGGATAAGTCTGTTGAGTATACCTGGTAAAGTGTATGGTAGAGTTATTATTGAAAGAATTAAGAGTAAGACAGAGAATAGGATAGCAGATGAACAAGGAGGCTTTAGGAAAGGTAGGGGGTGGTGTGGACCAGGTGTTTACAGTGAAATATATAAGTGAACAGTATTTAGATAAGGCTAAAGAGGCCTTTGTGGCATTTATGGATTTGGAAAAGGTGTATGACAGGGTGGATAGGGGGGCAATGTGGCAGATGTTGCAGGTGTATGGTGTAGGAGGTAAGTTACTGAAAGCAGTGAAGAGTTTTTACGAGGATAGTGAGGCTCAAGTTAGAGTATGTAGGAAAGAGGGAAATTATTTCCCAGTAAAAGTAGGTCTTAGACAAGGATGTGTGATGTCACCGTGGTTGTTTAATATATTTATAGATGGGGTTGTAAGAGAAGTAAATGCGAGGGTCTTGGCAAGAGGCGTGGAGTTAAAATATAAAGAATCACACATAAAGTGGGAGTTGTCACAGTTGCTCTTTGCTGATGACACTGTGCTCTTGGGAGATTCTGAAGAGAAGTTGCAGAGATTGGTGGATGAATTTGGTAGGGTGTGCAAAAGAAGAAAATTAAAAGTGAATACAGGAAAGAGTAAGGTTATGAGGATAACAAAAAGATTAGGTGATGAAAGATTGGATATCAGATTGGAGGGAGAGAGTATGGAGGAGGTGAATGTATTCAGATATTTGGGAGTGGACGTGTCAGCGGATGGGTCTATGAAAGATGAGGTGAATCATAGAATTGATGAGGGGAATAGGGTGAGTGGTGTGCTTATGAGTCTGTGGAGACAAAGAACTTTGTCCTTGGAGGCAAAGAGAGGAATGTATGAGAGTATAGTTTTACCAACGCTCTTATATGGGTGTGAAGCATGGGTGATGAATGTTGCAGCGAGGAGAAGGCTGGAGGCAGTGGAGATGTCATGTCTGAGGGCAATGCGTGGTGTGAATATAATGCAGAGAATTCGTAGTTTGGAAGTTAGGAGGAGGTGTGGGATTACCAAAACTGTTGTCCAGAGGGCTGAGGAAGGGTTGTTGAGGTGGTTCGGACATGTAGAGAGAATGGAGCGAAACAGAATGACTGCAAGAGTGTATCAGTCTGTAGTGGAAGGAAGGCGGGGTAGGGGTTGGCCTAGGAAATGTTGGAGGGAGGGGGTAAAGGAGGTTTTTGTGTGCGAGGGGCTTGGACTTCCAGCAGGCATGTGTGAGTGTGTTTGATAGGAGTGAATGAAGACAAATGGTTTTTAGGATTTGACGTGCTGTTGGAGTGTAAGCAAGGTAACATTTATGAAGGGATTCAGGGAAACCGGCAAGCCGGACTTGATTCCTGGAGATTGGAAGTACAGTACCGGCACTCTGAAGGAGGAGTGTTAATGTTGCAGTTTTATAACTCCTGACTTTTTAATTCTGCCATTCAATAAAATATTACCACCTGCACCATTACTTGTAAGGTAGATTTTGTGTGCAATTTCAAGCTTATTTTACCGAACCTTACTCACTTGTACTAAGTTTAAATAAGATTGTAAAACAGTTAACCACTATTATTTGCCTAGTTTAAGTATAGTTACTATGTACTATTATCTTATCAAGTTTTAATTAGTTACTATGTATTAGGATTAGTTTGCTCAAAATGCCTCAGCATAATAGTGGCTATCTTTGTACTTAGCAAATCACAATTGTAATTACACATTGTAGCCTTTACAAACAAATAAACTTTACTTTACTGTAGTGTAAGCATGCCTCTGGCAAGACAGTGATGGGATGAATGATAACGAAAGTTTTTCTTTTTCGGGCCACCCTGTCTTGGTGGGAAATGGCAGATGTGTAAAAAAAAAAAAAATGAACAAATGCACAAATTACTCTTAAACTGTATTTCCATCTGCTTTTAACATCTCATTTGTAATCCCATCTGTTCTAGTTGCCTTTTCTCCTTTTGTGCTACTTGCTGCTTCATGCACTTCTTCCACATCCACCTTAGTATCCTCTTCACTCCTATGTGATTGTTCTCCCTGCTCAGTGCTTGAAATCACTGCCTCAGTTTCATCATTAGCATTAACCATTAAACTGTCCAAATGTAGATCTATGTTTGTTTGCGTAGTGCTTCAAACATACATCTACTTTTTTTTATACATTGTTTCTCATGGAGAAAATAAAGGTCAGAGTGCTACGCACGCAAACGTAGATCTACGTTTGGACAGCTTAAGAGTTAAACAACTTGTCTGAATGTGCTCTGTCTTCCTTGTACCTCTACCTCCCTCACTTATTTTAAACTGCCATATCCATTTGTTTTCCAGACTTTCATACATTATTGATCTCTCTCTGAAATTGTTCTCGGCAAAATGTATTGGTAAAAACTTGACTGTTCTCTCATTGGCTCTCCTTTTGTACTTCTGCACCACTCTTTCGAGGTCCTTTACTCTCTAATATAGTTTATTTCTGTTTTTTTTTTTCAAGTCGGCCGTCTCCTACCGAGGCAGGGTGACCCAAAAAAGAAAATCCCCAAAAAGAAAATGCTTTCATCATCATTCAACACTTTCACCACACTCACACATTATCACTGTTTTTGCAGAGGTGCTCAGAATACAACAGTTTAGAAGCATATACGTATAAAGATACACAACATATCCCTCCAAACTGCCAATATCCCAAACCCCTCCTTTAAAGTGCAGGCACTGTACTTCCCATTTCCAGGACTCAAGTCCGACTATATGAAAATAACCGGTTTCCCTGAATCCCTTCACTAAATATTACCCTGCTCACACTCCAACAGATCGTCAGGTCCCAAGTATCATTCGTCTCCATTCACTCCTATCTAATACGCTCACGCACGCTTGCTGGAAGTCCAAGTCCCTCGTCCACAAAACCTTCTTTACCCCCCTCTCTCCAACCCTTTCGAGGACGACCCCTACCCCTCCTTCCTTCCCCTATAGATTTATATGCTTTCCATGTCATTCTACTTTGATCCATTCTCTCTAAATGACCAAACCACCTCAACAACCCCTCTTCTGCCCTCTGACTAATGCTTTTATTAACTCCACACCTTCTCCTAATTTCCACACTCTGAATTTTCTGCATAATATTTACACCACACATTGCCCTTAGACAGGACATCTCCAATGCCTCCAACCATCTCCTCGCTGCTGCATTTACCACCCAAGCTTCACGTCCATATAAGAGTGTTGGTACCACTATACTTTCATACATTCCCTTCTTTGCCTCCATAGATAGCATTTTTTGACTCCACATATACCTCAACGCACCACTTGCCTTTTTTCCCTCATCAATTCTATGATTAACCTCATCCTTCATAAATCCATCCGCCGACACGTCAACTCCCAAGTATCTGAAAACATTCACTTCTTCCATACTCCTCCTCCCCAATTTGATATCCAATTTTTCTTTATCTAAATCATTTGATACCCTCAGCACCTTACTCTTTTCTATGTTCACTTTCATCTTTCTACCTTTACACACATTCCCAAACTCATCCACTAACCTTTGCAGTTTTTCTTCAGAATCTCCCATAAGCACAGTATCATCAGCAAAAAGTAACTGTGTCAATTCCCATTTTGAATTTGATTCATCATAATTTAATCCCACCCCTCTCCCGAACACCCTGTATGTCATTTCTATATTCTTAAATCCTGTCTAACACTGACCTTTTCTTCCTTACCATCCTCCTTATCTCATCATCCCACCAGTTGCTCTTCCCAATTTTACCTACCCTTTTATATCCACAGACTTCTGTTGCACACACTAACACTGCATTTTTAAATTTACCTTGCATTCCTCGAGTTTCCTGCCCATGACCTGTACTCTAGCCCACCTTTGTTCCAAGAGCTGCTTATATCTTACCCTAATTGTCTCCTCTAATTTATTAACTTTTGCTTCTCAATTACCCACTGATGTCATTCTTGTCATATCCGATCTGTCTCTTAGTTCATCAACTGTTAAATAATGATCTGACATACCTCTTTCTCTAAAAACATGTACATCCATCAGTCTACCCATTAACTCTTTATTTACTGATGCATTGTCTAACAAACTATCATTGCATTTTACATCATATTTCTAATTTTACCTTTTTTTTCTCAAGTATTACTTGCTAAAGTAGGATAAATGTTTAGAGAGGGTGTGGTGCATAAGTTTGGGGTGCCTGGTGTAAATGATAATTGGGGAGCCTTTGATAGAACTTTGTATAAAAAGGAATTTGGTTATAGATAATGCTTATTTTAAGAAAAGGATAAATAATATAAAAGATGTGATAAAGGGTGTAATGACAGTAGTTTGTTGGATTATGTATTGGTAGATAAAACTGTTGCATAGACTTCAGGATGTACATGTTTATAGAGGGGCCATAGATATATCAGATCACGTTTTAGTTGTAACTACAGTGACAGCAAAAGGTAGATGGGATACAAGGGAACTAGAAGCAGCAAGTAAGAGAGAGGTGAATGTTTATAAACTAAAGGAGGAGACAGGGTAAGATATAAACAACTGTTGGAGGATAGATGGGCTAGTAAGAGTATAGGCAATGGGGTTGAATATGTATGCAGTGGGTTTAAGAATGTAGTGTTAGTGTTCAGCAGAAGTTTGTGGTTGCAGGAAAGTGGGTGCAGGAGGGAAGAAGAGTGATTGGTGGAATGATGATGTGAAGAGAGTAGTAAGGGAGAAAAAGTTAGCATATGAGAGGGTTTTTACCAAGTAGAAGTGATGCAATTAGGGAGGAGTATATGCAGAAAAAGAGGTTAAGAGAGTGGTGAAGGAATGTAAAAAGAGAGCAAAAGAGAGAGAGTGGGTGAGATGTTATCAGCAAATTTTGTTCAGAATTAGAAAAAGTTTTGGAGTGAGATTAATAAGTTAAGAAACTCTAGGGAACGAATGGATTTGATAATTAAAATAGGAGAGGAGAGTTATTAAATGGAGAGTTAGAGGGTAGAATGAAAGTGGGTAAAGCAGCTGGGATTGATGTGATAGAAATATTAAAAGGGGTGGGGATATAGTTTTAGTGTTAATGCCTTTATTTAATAAATATATATAAGAAAGGGGAAAAGAGAGGGTAAAAATTATAGTGGAATAAATCTGTTGAGTATCCCTGGTAAAGTGTATGGTAGAATTGTTATTGAAAGAATTAATAGTAAGATGGAGAGCAGGATCACAGATGAACAAGGAGGCTTTAGGAAGGGTATGGAGTGTGTAGACAGTGTTCACTCTGAAACATAAGTAAACAGTATTTAGATAAGGGTAAAGAGGTTTTTGTGGCATTTATGGATATGGAAAAGGCATATGTTGCAAATGTATGGAATAGGAGGTAGGTTACCAAAAGCAGTGAGAAGCTTTTACGAAGGTAATAAGCTCAGGTTAAAGTGTGTGGGAGAGAGGGAGATTATTTCCCAGTAAAAATAAGTCTTAGACAAGGATGTGTGATGTCACCATGGTTGTTCATTGTATTTATAGATGGGGATGTAAGAGAAGTGAATGCTCGTGTGTTGGCAAGAGGTGTGGGGTTAAAAGATAAAGAATCTAACACAAAGTGGGAGTTGTCACAGTTGTTCTTTGCTGACGACACTGTACTTTTGGGAGATTCTGAAGGGAAGTTGCAGAGGTTGGTGGATGAGTTTGGTAGGGTATGTAAAAGAAGAAAATTTAAAATGAATGTAGGAAAGAGTAAGATGATGAGGATAACACAAAACTTAGGTAATGAAAGATTGGATATCAAATTGGAGGGAGAGAGTATGAAGGAGGTAAATGTTTTCAGATATTTGGGAGTGGATGTGTTAGCAGATGGGTCTATGAAAGATGAGGCGAGTCATAGAATTGATGAGGTTAAAATGGTGAATGGTGCACTGAAGAGTCTGTGGAGACAAAGAATGTTATCCATGGAAGCAAAGAACGGAATGTATGTTGTTGCTCTGTCACTCTTTTTATATATTTTTGAAATATAATTTAACTCAAAAGTTGTCTTCTGTCTAGGCAGGGTGACCCACTTAAGAAAACACATTGCATAAACATTCACTGTATTGCTGTCTTTCCAGAAATGTGCAAACATGTTCTTGGAATTGTTTCAATGTGGCATTTTGCAGGCACTCAGTATGCATTGTACCGTTTATATGGCGTAGACTCCAGAATGACCCCGGCCAAGTCCAAGAGCTCCAGTGTCTGCCCAGAGATGTCAATGAGATGCATGCCACACCTTTCCTCATTGCTGTAAGAGTTTAATATCTTGTATACATCATTTGTAATATAAAAAAATGTTTCAGTGATATTATGATTTGAGTACCTCATTGCTGTAAGATAGTTTATTCCCAAAGTATTGTGAAAGGATATTATGGCTCACTCAATAGGGTTTGAACTCACTATAGTGAGTTCATTATTAGATATAGCTAACTTTCTCTACTTTCCCTAGATGTATGGAAAGTTACAAGGGATTTATTGAACCTGTTAACTGTCTAAATGTAGATCTATGTTTTCACTGCTAGTACTCCAAATATTTTGATTTTTTTTTTTATAGAAGGCAAATTTCTGTGTGTAATAAAACCAAAAAAATTGTGTAGGGTCAGTATTTACCGAGATAAAAAACCGTGAAGTTGGCGCTGGATGCTTACCTGAGGGCAGTGTGGAGTCCTGCCACTTGCAGAAATGTTGCCAAGATACCAGCAATGTTTTAGACATGCTGGAGTATATATGAAACTCCTTGAAGCACAGTGTAAGATGAGTGTCACTCCTCTGCTGACAGTGCGGCAGTGGAGTGACATATGATGACCATGCACTGCTCTAGTGAACCTTTGCATTTTGTTATCACTGTTACACATAAACATGTCTGTACCTGTCTATTTAGCTCTGTCTCTTTTTATCTCTGTCTCTGCTTATCTGTCTTTGCCTGTGTGTTTGTCTTCCTGTCACTCTGCTTGTCTCTCTCAGAGAGAGCCACTCATGAACCAACAGGTATTACACATGATGCAGAGTTATCACGTCTGATTCCTGAGCAAGTGAAAATGCGTATTACTTGCCAGTCATGCTTATTATGCCATATACAGTAGGGCCCCACTTATTCAGCAGGTTAGGTTCCAGGCTACTGCCGGAAAGCAGAACTCCATTTTTTCCATTTATAAATGCATATAAATGCCAGATAACAAGTTTACACTAACATATATTAAGTTAACAATAGAACTAGGCATTAAAAAGTAAAATACACACACAGTACACTCATTATTTACCTTAAAATATTTGTAGTCTTAATGTAGGACAAAAGGTGAGTATTATTTACTGTAAGAAGTCAGGTGTGGTAGCCCTCCTGGCCACCCCACCCACACATACTATACTACAATGCTTAAAGCTCCCTAAAGTGATAAAATGCATATACAGTACACGCATTACTTTTTTTTTTTTTTTTTTTTTTTTTTTTTTTTTATTTTTTTTTTTTTTTTTTTTTTTTACACACCGGCCGTATCCCACTGAGGCGGGGTGGCCCAAAAGGAAAAAAGAAAGTTTCTCCTTTTACATTTAGTAATATATACAGGAGAAGGGGTTACTAGCCCCTTGGTCCCGGCATTTTAGTTGCCTCTTACAACACGCATGGCTTACAGAGGAAGAATTCTGTTCCACTTCCCCATGGAGGTAAGAGGAAATAAACAAGAACAAGAACTAGTAAGAAAATAGAAGAAAACCCAGCAGGGTGTGTGTACATATATGCTTGTACATGTATGTGTAGTGTGGCCTAAGTGTAAGTAGAAGTAGCAAGACGTACCTGAAATTTTGCATGTTTGTGAGACAGAAAAATGGACACCAGCAATCCTACCATGTAAAACAATTACAGGCTTTCGTTTTACACTCACTTGGCAGGATGGTAGTACCTCCCTGGGCGGTTGCTGTCTACCAACCTACTACCTAGGATGCATTATTTACCTTAAAATATTTGTAGTCTTAATGTAGGGTGAGAGGTGGAAAGTATTTATTTATAGAAAGTCGTGTGGGTGGTATGGCATCCTGCCTGGCCTCTTAAACCTACTATGACATTAAGCTCCCTAGAGCAATAAAATGTGTATATAGTGCACTCATTAATTACTTAAAATATTTGTAGTCTTGATGTAGGGTGAGAAGTGTTTTATCTGTATGAAGTCAGGTTGGGAAGTATGGGTAGCCAGGAAGGGCAGCCCTCGCCACCCCACCCACCCACACATAATGTAAACAAACCAGATAAACACGTCTGGTTTTCGTCACAAGTCCTACAAGTTGCCTGGCTACCAAAATGTCTATATTAACGTTTTATATGATATTTAATGCTCCTTAGAGTGATTATTATTATGTTGTTATTATTATGATTAATATGGCATCTTCAAGACTAATAAGACACTCTTAGTGATTTTAATATGTACCTGCATGCCAGCACAGTGTGTAAGTTTACTGAGGTACAGGTACACATACATATAATTATCAGTTATAATAATAATGTAGGTATGTAGTCCACCTGGGATACATACCTACACCTACCTACATAGCTGCATGATATTTAATGTGGCCCAGAGCCATATTATTACCATCGACATACCATGTTCACTGACTTAAATCGTTTTTAACAACTACCTTTAGATGCCATCATAAACAAAGGGAGAAGTAATGAATAATTCATGCCGATGATTGTAAACAAAAGTGTTATGTATTTAGGGGAGTGACGTAATGTTTTTCCTCCGCCCGGCTACCACACCTCTATAGTATATAAACATAAAATGTTTGTGTGCTTTGTAACATGTTTCTTGGATAATTTTGAAGAAAATATACTGGATGGATTAATGAAAATGCCTATATTAATGTAAAATAAGACATTTAATGTGGCCAAGAGTGATTATTATTACATAATAGAGAGATGTGCATATGAGATGTGCTCGCGCCGTACTTGGAAAACCAATTGCCGTACAGAAAGTTTTGGTCATAATTTGAGATCGCCGTATTAACAGAATGTTGTAAGGCGAAATGCCGAAAAGTGGGGCCCTTCTGTATCTACAAGGACAGTAAAGTGGAACCCTGAATTTCAGCCATAATCCATTCCAAGAGCTAGGCCTAAACTCAAAATGGCCGAAAGTCGAAGCAATATTTCCCATAAGAAATAATGTAAATAAAATTAATCCTTATCAGACCTACAAAACTTTTCACAAAAAAATAAATTTTTTAAAGTATAACTATAGTTTAACATACACGTAGTACTTAAAACATACATATAGTATTAAATGAGTAATACAATACATAAAAAAACATTTAACCCTTTGACTGTTTTGGTCGTATATATACGTCTTGCGAGCTAGTGTTTCAGACGTATATATACTCAATAATTCTAGCGGCTTCAAATCCAGCAGGAGAAAGCTGGTAGGCTCACGTGTGAGTGAATGGGTCTGTGTGGTCAGTGTGCACCACATAAAGAAAATCCTGCATTACGCAGTGCATAATGAGAAAAAAAAATCTGACCCTTTTTTTGGATTAAAACGCCGACTTTCAGGTGTATTTTCGTATAGTATTTATCATTGTATTCTCGTTTTCATGGTCTCGTGTGATAAAATGGAAAACATATTGTAGAAATAGAGATGATTTTGATTAGTTTCACGATGAAAACGACGGTGAAATTTAGCTCAAAGTAGCGGAAATGTTCGATTTTTACCATTGTTCAAGAGTGAGCAAATCACACCACACATCCAATACACATCAACTGGGGAGTCTAATATTCTTTCACTAGTGCACTGATATTATTTATACCATTTTTACAATAATGCAGTAGTCTGCATAACAGTAAATTTTATATATTTTGTATGAATAAAAAATCAAAACAGAAAGCAATAGTAATATAAGAGGGGTCTAGAGATGTGACTAAAGAACAGAGAATATGTTATTTTAGTGCGAAGAACGTCTACATTGTTTATTCTGGACCCTATTTTGAAATTAGCATCTTTTTTAATTTGCATGAAATTGGGCAAATTGCCAATTTCTGACCACTTTATTGGGTAGTTCAAATTGGTAAATGGGTGGTTTTTTGTACTCAGTGATAGAAAAAATGGAGTTCTAAAGAAATAGCAATGAGTTTGGTAACTGGAACAATGGAATTGGCCAAAAGCAGGGCTCAGATTCGGCGAAATCACCAATGCGTATATGTCGCCGAAACCGCTTACCTCGTGGGAGTGTAATTCCATGAGTTTTCGACCAAATTTCCTACTTTTGGTGTCATTACCATCGGGAAAAGATTCTCTATCATTTCATAAGAATGAAAGATATATTACAGAAATAGATATGATTTTGATTGCTTTCATGATGAAAAGTACCTTGAAATTGCGCTCACAGTAGCGGGAATGTTCTATTCTTTAGCGAAGCTCAAGAGTAAACAAATAGTCACCGTCCAATACCTGTCCGCCTGCCAGTCCAAATTCCAATACGGCGTCAAGAATGGGTTGACATAATTTATACAATTATTACAATAATGCAGCAGTCTGCATAACAGTAAATCTTCTGTTTTTTTTTTTTTTTTTGTGAATAAAAATTCCAAATGGTAAGCAACAGTAATATAAGAGGGGCCTGGAGCCATGACTAATGAACAGAGAAAATGTTATTTTAGTGCCAGGAATGTCTGCATTGTTTATTCTGGATCCTATTTTGAAATTGGCATCTGTTGAAATTTGTGTGAAATCAGCCAAATTGCCAATTTCTAACCACTGTATTGGGTAGTTGAAATAAGTGAATGGGCAGTTTCTTGTACTCAGTTGACAGACTAGAAGTAAATAAGTTTATTCAGGCATACACAAATACAGTTACATAGATTATCATACATAGCAGTGTATGTATAGAGAACCTAGGATAACCTAGAAAAGTCAGACAAAGTAACTTATTTCCAGTACCTGGCTTGGGCTTGCCATATATGATTTTTGGTAAATATTTTTTTTTCTTGGTTGTTTGTTGGGCTATCTCATTGAAACTTGGGCAATGTATGATGGAAAGATGCTTCTTAACGTACAACAAAAATAAAAAAGACGGACGATAAATAAGGGAGTTAATTTCTCAGCCATTAGCCGCCTGTTTGCAGTATATTTTCGTATGGTTTTTTATGGTTGTATTCTCATTTTTTTGGACTCATTTGATAGAATGGAAGATATATTACAGAAATAGACATGATTTTGATTTCTTTCATAATGAAAAGTACCTTGAAATTGAGCTCAAAGTAGCAGAAATGTTTGATTTTTGTCAATGTTCAGTGAACTTTGTGTAAGTCAAGTTGGTTAATTTTATTAAGTGTATTCTTACCTAACCACTCTGTAATCTGGCGAACTCAGTAATCCGGCACACTACAGGTCCCAGTGATGCCGGATTTGTGATGGAGGACCTGTATTTCATTACTACATATTTATAATATTTGCCTTTTTACTTGATATCAGGCAACAGGAGATGTGGAGCAAATTCTTTGGAATAATACATGTCGACGCACCATGAAGAGTGCACTCTACAAGGTTCAGCTACGTCCTTGCCTGGTACTGCACAACCTCCTCCCAGTACCCATCTCACTAGAACCTCCTGGAACCATGTGCTCTAGAGTCCTAATGCCAGGTTCATCACTTCAGCTGACAAAGGCTCGGCTGGGCTCCATGTACTTGGAACTGCAGGTAATTTCACATCCTGGCCTATTCAGACATGCAATATTTATCTTTAGCAAAATCCTCTTAACTCTTTTTTACCTTGTTGCTGCTTTTTTTTTTAAATAAGAACAATTTTGGAGGTTGCTGTATTGCTTGAGATTAACCTTTCACTGTCCATCACATAGATCTACATTATAGATGCCAGGGTCTGTCACGTAGATCTACGTCATGAGCTCGGCTTGCTCAGATAAGATGAGTGGTAAATTTTGGCCTAGATATGAGAGGATGGGTCTGTGAAGTGAGTGGGCATAGTAAAAAAAAAAAAAATCTTGCTTCATGGGATGTATGATGGGAAAAGCAAAACTTTGACTTTCTGTTTGCTTGCAAATAGTTAATTTAAGGTGTTTTATAGGATGGTTTTTAACATTTTATTAAATGTTTCTTGGCAACGTTTGATAGAATGGATGACATAGTACTGAAACATAAATGATTTTGCTTGGTTCCTAGACTAGCAGTAGCTTGAAATCAGCTTCAAATTTGCAGAAATGTTCAGATTTTGCTTATTTTCCTGGGGATGAGTAAGGGATCCCTACACCCCTTGGTCTGTGTTATGGTTTTTTACTAGGTCTGATTCAGTTATTAGGATGCTGTAAACCATGACCAATCATTCTTAGTTATATTTTATCCTAGAAATAGGGTAAATCTTCGATTATTTGCTATAAATTCAAAACAAAAGCCATGTGTAATATAGGAGAGGTCTAGAAATATGATTAATGAACAGAGGAAATGTTTTAATGCCTGGAATATCTTTTTTTTTCTCTCTCTCCAACAAGTCGGCCGTCTCCCACCGAGGCAGGGTGACCCAAAAAGAAAGAAAAAAAATCCCCAAAAAGAAAATACTTTCATCATCATTCAACACTTTCACCTCACTCACACATAATCACTGTTTTTGCAGAGGTGCTGTGTTCTGGAATATCTACAGTGTTTATTTTGTAATTTTTGTAATTTTGCTTAAAATTGGCAAAATTACTAACTTCTTTGCACATTAAAGGGTAATTTTTGATAGTTGATTGGACAGTTTCTTCTGCTGAGTTGATAGAATGGAAGATATACTTCCAAAGTATCTAAGAATTTTTTCAAATCGAACAATGGAATTCCCTTAACCCTCTGAGGGTTCGTCCCATAGTTCTACGGCTTTGAAACCAGGGTCCAAGCCATAGTACTACGCCATGAACTCTGATCACTCAGATAAGCTGTGAATGGTAAATTTGGGCCTAGATATGAGAGAATGCATCTATGTGGTAAGTTTGCATCATATAAAACAAATCTTGCAGCATGCAGTGCATATTGAGAAAAAACTGCCACCGTGTTTTTGGATTAAAACAGTGACTTTACGGTGTATATTCATGTTTTCTACAGTTGTATTTGCGGTTTCTTGGTCTCAGTTGATAGAATGGAAGATTTATTACAGAAATAGAGATGATTTTGATTGGTTCTAATTCTGAAAATCATTTGAAACTGTGCTCAAAGTAGCGAAAATGTTTGATTTTTTGCTGATGTTCATGAGTAAACAAATGACGTCACATGTCCAATACATGTCAGCTGGTGGGTCTTATGTGCATTCACAAATGCACTGATATTATTTATACAGTTATTATAATATTGCATAACAGTAAATTTTCTATTTTTTGTTGTGAATAAAAATTCATTATGTGAATAAAGAATTGAAATAAATTCATTTGTAAAACCTGGAAACATAATTAATAAACAGAGGAAATGTTGTTATTGTGCCTGGAATGCCTACCTTGTTTATTCTGAACCCTATTTTAAAATTGGAATATTTTGAATTTTGTGTACACTTAGCCAAATTACCAATTTCCGATCACTTCATTGGGTAATTGAAATAGTTGTTTGGGTGATTTGTTGTGCTCAATCAATAAAACAGAAGTAATACTAGTGAAATAGCTATGAATATAGTGAACTGAAACAGTGGAATTGGCCTAAAATTGAGCTCAAATTGGGCAAAATCGCCGATACATAAATATCACCGAGATGACTAACTTCATAAGAGTGTAATTCTGTAAGTTTTCCATCAAATTTCATATTTTTTATTTCATTACTATCGGGAAAAGATTATCATTTCATAAGAAAAATATTTTTTTTTTTTTTTAATCTTTGACACTGAGGGCAAGTTTGCGAGCAGGGGTCACGACAGTGAAAGGGTTAACAACTGTTATGACAGAATCTGCTTACTGGCCAGCAGCATTAAGTGGAACAAACACTTCACATTTTCTTTATAGACAAAGTTAATAATGCTGAAAGCAAAGTTTAGTGTAAATGAGCAAGGAATGAGTGAAGTAAGCAAAAATAGTTAATCTGAGTCCTGGAGGTGGGAAAGGGAGTGCCTGTACTCTGGAGAAGAAAAGGGATGTTGCAATCATAAGGTAATATAAATTGTGATGTCAGCATACCTCTGGAAGAGCAGTGATTGGTTGAATGATGGTGAACATTTTTTTCTTTGGGTCACCGTGTCTTGATGGGAAACCGTTATTGGGTGAAAAAACAGAAATAGTATTCTCCCCTTCCCCATGAACCGGCTGTATCCCACCGAGGCAGGGTGACCTAAAAAGAAAAACAGAAGCGTTTCTTTTTAAATTTAGTAAGTTAAACAGGAGAAGGGGTTACTAGCCTCTTGCTCCCAAAATAGCAAATTGTAATAATTATGTAAATTCACCTGGTGCTCTCTTTTCAGCTACTGGATTACCAGTCCCGTGACTGGGTGTGTGGTAAGGCTATTGAATCTAACCCCTCGGAGTTGAGCGTGTGGACGTTTGAATCTAGGGGAGACATCATGGGTGGACCTATTTACTTGGACCTTGGTATGCTTGTTGCAAAGTCAGAGGCAAGCCTCTCACTCAGTCTTTACTGCCCCTTCTGGATGGTTAACAAGACTGGACTTATGTTAACATATCGGGTATGTTACCTTCCATAGGACATTTAACCAGGAAGCTTTCTATACCTGTTTTTTTGCAACTGTAAAAGTTAACTAATTGTGACTTTACCTATAAAAGTTAACTAATTGTGACTTTACCTATTTGTAGTTGGAGTTATGCTCCTGATGTTCTGTCTTCTTTAATGCATCATAAATTTATTAGTGTTATTTGTGGTTGTTGTATGTACAGGTCAGCCATCACTAATCTGGCAATCAGTAATCCGGCACTAATTTCGCCTAGCATAATTTCAAATTTTCATGGTTGCCACACCAACCTGCTGCTCCTGTTTGGTGATGCTACTTGCTGCACAAGTCATTCCAATTTCTTTTTCTCCATTTATTGTTATAACCTGCTTATTTTTAGCACTAGCCATAGTTCCAGCAAATAAATGAAATGCTTCTCGTTTGCCTAGAGAGGGTTTTGGGGGTCGTTGTGTCAAGTACATACCCAGTACATTGCCCATAAAAGATAAGGTGGCTTTGAAGCCACTGTCAGTTGCCATGAGTTCAGCTCACTCAGATAAGCTTTGACCGGTAAATTTGGGCTTACATGTGAGAGAATTGGTTTGTGGTAAGTGTGCACTATATAAAAAAAATCCTGCAGCATGCACTGCATAATGAGAAAAAAAACTGTGACCGTGGTGTAAAACAGTGACTTAAGGGTGGCTAAAGCATGCGAAGTAAAAAAAAAAAAACTGGAAAAAAAAAAAAAATATGAAAATTGAGCTCATCCTATAGTAAAATAGCTTAACATCTTCACAACACTCTGGTATTAGAATCATTGTTGTACTATGTTCCTACAAGGAATTATAGTCATAACATATACAGTGATGCTACCACCCATAGCATGTGTGCTCATGTCAGTTTTCAGATTTTTTCCATTTTTTTTTTCTAATATAATTATTGATGATTTGGCATCATAACAGAGTGGGTGGAGCTAATGCAGAGTCTGAGAGCCAATCAAGAACCATCTGGGAACATTTGCTTATGTCAGCAGGAATTCCCGAGTCTCATGATGCGGTGGAATATGCTCTATTATTACACTAATATCAACACTTCGGCTTATTTACCTATCACAATTGATCAAATATGACATAATAAACAATATAAATAACATAGAAACATGGTAAATTCTCCTGAATGAATATTTGGCATAATACCAAGCAGTCCAACAGAGGTATGAAGTTACTGCTACAAGATGTGGGATAAAAATACCATCCTCCTATCCCTGTCTTGGGGACTTATATTAGAGAAAACATGGTGTAGTACAGGGCTAACTGTGGCATACACTCGTAATACACCATAAAACCGAAACAAAGCTATTTCTCAAATTTTTTTTTTTCAATGCATGCTCATTTTTGTTGATTATCTCGGTAGTTACTCATTTATATCTTAACATAACAGCATTAATGATAGGAATGCAATGCATTTCACAGACAACATAAAAGAATGATTGTTTTATAAACTAGTGAAGTTATATTTGAAATATCACAATTTGCTTTTGATTTGTGTGTAAGTTTATTCAGGTATACACAAGTACAGTTACATCGATTATCATACAAAGCAGCATATGTGTAGAGAATCTAGGATAACCCAAAAAAGTCAGTGACTTATTTTCAGTATGTGTACCTGGCTTGGGCTTGCCATATATGATTTTTGGTAAATATTTTTGTCAGTTGTTTGTTGGGCTATATTATTGAAACTTAGGCAATGTATGATGGAAAGATGCTTCTTAACATACACCAAAAATGAAAGAAATCGGAAGATAAATAACAAAGTTCACTTCTCAGCCATTATCCGCCCCTTAGCAATATATTTTCATATGGTTTTTATGGTTGTATTCTCTTTTTTTGGTCTCATTTGATTGAATGGAAGATATATTACAGAAATAGATATGATTTTCATTTGTTTCACAATGAGAAGTACCTTGAAATTGAGCTCAGAGTAGCGGAAATATTTTATTTTTTGCCGATGTTCAAGACGTCCAATACGTGTCCAACTGGCCAGTCTAATACATAGTCACGAATGGGTTGACATTATTTATACAATTATTATGATAATGCAATAGTCTGCTTAACAGTAAATCTCCCATTTTTTGTGTGAATAAAAATTCAAAATGGAAAGCATCTACCCACTTTATTGGGTAGTTAAATAATTGAATGGGCAGTTTCTTGTACTCATTCACAGAATAGAAGAAACACTTGTGAAATAGCTGAGTTTGGTAGACTGGAACAATGGAATGGGTCAAAAATAGGGTGTAAATTGGATGAAATCACCAATGCGTAAATATCGCCTTTGGGTTAAGTGTATTCTAACCTAACCACTCTGTAATCTGGCACCCTACAGGTCCTGATGATGCCGGATTAGTGATGACTGACCTGTACTCTCTTTCCAGAACACATTTCTGTCCACTACTGTGGTGGAACTCATCCTGTTATTTCATGTGCAGCATTCTTTGCATGATTTCATGGTAACTTCGCTGTGCTTATTTACACAATTCAGTTAATATTATCATTGCATGTAATAATCTTCATGTGTCATTCCAGGAATCTGCCATACTGTATTTGTAAGAGTATTTTCTAATCTTCCATACATCTTATTCTTCCCAATTTGAGAAGTTAGCCAATCTTATTTGATTTTCATCAGTTTCTCATCCAGAAATTCTCCTTAATTATTTTCTGATAATCTTGTGGATGTATGTTTGGTTACCTTATCTCCATACATTCTTTATTTAAGCATTTCTAGTGTCTTCAGACTTTAATCTTAAGTTATGCTGGATTATTTCTGAAGTTCAATTTGCCACCTTGTTTTTCTGCTTATTTGGGTGTGGCCTCCATATTATAGCCACATTTCTAACCTAGGTTGAATATTTGTTCTAAATTTTGCTAAGCTCTTCTATCCATGTGTGTTAAAACTATATATGCATTTATTAATTCACATTGTACATTTCCTTTCATCTTATTTATATACTGTACTAAATTTTAGGGCTTTAAAGCAAATATTTATACAGTGGAACCTCAAATATTGAACTACTCCCAACTCAACCAATTATGTGAGTGTATTTTTGTAAGTTCTTTTATAAGTGTATTTTTGAGAGTCTGAAATGAACTAATCTAATTTACATTATTCCTGATGGGAATAAATTCATTCGGTAACGGCACTCAAACAGCCGTCTGGAACAAAGAAAGTTCGATATTTGAGGTTCCACTGTAATTATTTTTACTTATTAAACCACTTCAGTTCAGCATACGTATTTGCTTTACAAGAATGTTTTTGACGATTTTTGATACTGTAATTTATTAGGATGCATATATAGATTGTTGAAAATGGGTAGTAGGGTTGTAAAGATTGACGCTGTGAAAAGTGTACTTGGATAGGTCAATATTTAAATTTACATCCCTCTTTACCTTACAATGAACAGAAGTCTCGTAAAATAGAGCGAACGTCTTCCACTTCATCTACGGACTCTCCCAGTAGTCCTCTCAAGGTACTTTGGCTAGTCAGTGGTCTGCTGCTCTTTGACTTGTGTTATCTCAGTTCTCATTTTTTTCTGAACTAGTTGCTTAAATTGCACTGTTCTTTTCATTTTGGTTTAATATTGTTGTTTGCCAATGCAGTATTATTTTAATTTTCTGCATGATTTTGTATATATGTTAGATATGCATAATGGAATTCACTCCATAAATTATGTTATTAGCATATTTAAGAGCTTAAATAGTGGCATACATTAGTCAGTACTTTTTTCAGTAACCTTTTTGAATTTTGTGTACTTGTGAAAGTAATGTAGGTAATTATATAAAAAAATCTGTTCTGCAGGATTGGTCTTTACATAGGTATATATATAGCATGCAGTGTTTTGAGAAAAGCTTGAAAATAACAGATGTTACAATGTTTTATTGTTAGGTCTATAAATTTGACAGCAATGCATGCAGTTCTCTTAAGGGAGTAATAAATTCTTATACTTGTACCCATTATTAAAATCTGAATGCTTCAGAGAAGAATAGTGAAAGGTGAAAGTTTGTACCTAACTAAATATAAAAATGAATAACCTTGCAAAAAGTTATTGGACTTGTATACCTGTGGTAAGAATCTTGTCATTTGTAATATAGTGGAAATATCATTTTCAAATTTTTATAGGATTCAAATCTTGTATAAATTAACCCAACATTTATATTGTCATATCCAAGTTAGTGGACACTTTAATGACTGCTAATAGCTGTGAAATTAATATAATGTTGAGATTTTTTATTATTGTAATACAATACCTGATGCAGTTCTATGACTTTCTGAAAACTCCGATAGCAGGTAAAATGGAGAAATTTGAGTCATAATTTGAAATGTCATAATTTGAAATGACCGTATTAGCGGAACACCGTAAAGCGAAACACCGTAAAGCAGGGCCCTAGGAATTGGGTTGAATTGAGTAGTGGAATAAGTCTGAACATGAATTACAAGAGCTTTTGTAAGATGGGAAAGGAAGAAGGATGGATAAGGATGAAAATAAGGGAAAAGGGTGGGTGGGGGTAGGGGAGGTGGGGTAATAAGGGTAAGTGTCCTAACCACTTTGAAACATCTTAATGCAAGTGTGTAGTGTGTGAAGTGTGTGTCAAGTATGTGTAGTGTGTGTGTAGTTTGTGTGTGTGTGTGTGTGTGTGTGTGGTGTGTGTGTGTGTGTGTGTGTGTGTGTGTGTTTGTTGTGTGTGTGTGTTTGTGGTGTGTGTGTGTGTGTTTGTGTGTGTGTGTAGCGTGGGTGTGTGTAGCAGTGAACCCTCGAATATTGGCCAAATCGGATTTCGGCTGCTTTTTTGGCCGAAATTGTCTTGGATATCGGCCGGCAACTCTGTAATAGGTCGTATTGGACGCGTCTGCCCGCCACTCCACTGTGTTCGTGAGTCAGTCCGGCTGTGTGTCTGGGCAAGTGAGCTAGACTTCACGCATTCATCCAAACATTTCGTTATCCATTGTTTTTTGTGGTTGTTTATTGAGTACAACTGTCAAATAAGCCACCATGGACCCAAAGAAAGTTCCTAGTGCCAGCCCTTTGGTAAAGAAAGTGAGAAACATGATAAAATTCAAGAAAGAAATTGTAGCAAAGTACGAGAGTGATGTATGTGTCCTGGAGCTTGCCAGGATGTATTGGAAATCCAAATCAACAATCACTTTCATCCTGGCAAAGAGAGTAGAAATCAAGGAAGCCAGTGTTGTGAAAGGGGTAAATACAGTGGACCCCCGGTTAACGATTTTAATCCGTGCAAGAGGGCTCATCGTTATGCGAAATAATCGTTATGCGAATTAATTTTCCCCATAAGAAATAATGGAAATAAAATTAATCCGTGCAAGACGCCCAAAAGTATGAAAAAAAATTTTTTTTACCACATGAAATGTTTTAAATTTTTAAAACACACAAAAATGAAAAAAGGCATGCACAAATTTCATGACACTTACTTTTATTGAAGATCTGGTGATGATTGATGGGATGGGAAGGGGGGGGGAGAGCATTAATCTTCTTACTGTTTAGAAGGGGAATCCCCTTCCATTAGGGCTTGAGGTAGCAAGTCCTTTTCTGGGGTTACTTCCCTTCTTCTTTTAATGCCACTAGGACCAGCTTCAGGGGTCACTGGACCTCTGTCGCACAACAAATCTATCCATAGACTCTGTACCTCCCGTTTTTTTCAAGACTTTCCTAAAATGGGCCATAACATTGTCATTGAAATAGTCACCAGCACGGCTTGCAACAGCTGTGTCAGGGTGATTTTCATCTATAAAGGTTTTGCAGTTCAAACCACTCTGCACACATTTCCTTAATCTTTGAAGTAGGCACAATGGATTCCACAACTGGCATAGGCTTCTCAGGGTTAGCCCCAACCCTTCAAAATCTTTCTTAATTTCCATACTAATTCTCACCCTTTTTACCACAGGGTTGGCACTAGAAGCTTTCTTGGGGCCCATGGTCACTTATTTTCCAGAAAACACCACCGAAAACACTGTAATAATACGAAATATTCCGAGTGTATGCTTGGATGTTACCGCGGAGGCTGGCTGGTAAACAATGGGACGGCCGGCACATGTGAGGGCACATTGGACGCGTCTCGGACGAAAATCGGTATGCGGGTTTTTAATCGGTATGGGGGGCAAAAATTTTGCGATAAAAGTAATCGTTATGCGGAAAAATCGCTATGCGATGCCATCGTTATGCGGGGGTCCACTGTATACTAACAAAACAAAGATCACCAATAATCAAAGATGTGGAGAAGTTATTGTTGGTGTGGATCAACGATAAACATTTAGCAGGAGATAGTATTGTGGAGTCAATCATTTGTGAAAAGGCAAGGCAGTTGCATGCAGATCTCGTAAACAAAATGCCTGCAACGAATGCTGCCTTTAGTGAATTTAAGGCCAGCAAAGGCTGGTTTGAGAGATTTAAGAAGCGAAGTGGCATACACAATGTTGTAAGGCATGGCGAGGCTGCAAGTTCAGACAAATGTGTGGCTGAAGAATTCGTGTGTTAATTTGAGGAGTATGTAGAGGCTGAAGGATTCATCCCCCAACAAGTGTTCATTTGTGACGAAACAGGCTTCTTTTGGAAGAAAATGCCAAAGAGGACATACATCATGCAGGAGGAAAAGGCACTGCCTGGACACAAGCCTATGAAGGATAGGCTTACTCTTTTGTTCTTTGGTAATGCTAGTGGGGATCTCAAAGTGAAGCCTTTACTGGTGTATCACTCTGACAATCCCAGAGTGTACAAGAAAAACAGTGTCATCAAGAGTAAATTGTGTGTGTTGTGGAAAGCTAATAATAAGGCATGGGTCACAAGGCAAATTTTCATTGACTGGGTCCATTAAGTGTTTGGCCCTAGTGTGAAAAAATACCTCCAGGAAAACAAATTGTTGCTCAAGTGCCTCCTGGCACTGGACAGTGCTCCTGCTCATCCTCCGAACTTGGATGACCAATTATCTATGGAGTTAAGTTTTATAACAGTGAAGTTCTTGCCTCATAACACCACTCCTCTCATCCAGCCCATAGACCAGCAAGTCATTTCTGACTTCAAAAAGCTCTACACAAAAACACTGTTTCAAAGGTGTTTGAAGTGACCTCGGACACTGACTTGGCTATAAGAGAGTTCTGGAGGAATCACTTATAGGTAAGGCTTGGCAGGGAGCGACTTCAAGGACTTTGAACTCTGCTTGGAGAAAATTGTGGCCAGAATGTGCCCAAGAGAAGGATTTTGAAGGGTTTGAGCCTGACCCTGACCCTGTCCCTGTCGACCCTCTACCTGTTGTGGAATGTATTGTGGCTTTGGGGAAGTCCATGGGGTTAGATGTGAGTGGCCAGGATGTGGAAAAGTTGGTGGAGGACCACAGGGAAGAGCTAACCACTGAAGAGCTGCAAGACCTTCATCTGCAACAGCAACAGACCACAGCTGAGGAAATTGCTTCAGAGGAGGAGGAAGAGAGAGGGAAGAATGTGCCTTCTTCAGTGATTAAGGACATGTGTGCAAAGTGGAGTGAGTTGCTTAGTTTTGTGGTGAAATATCACCTGGACCAAGCTCCAACAACCCATATCTGCAACATGTTCGGTGACAAAACCTTGTCCCACATCTGGCAAATCTTAGAGATGCCAGAAACAGACCTCTATGGATAGTTTTTGCTCAACAGGGCTCCAGTGACTCTCAGGCTGGTCCTAGTGGCAGTAAAAGACAAAGAAGGGAAGTAACTCCAGAGAGGGCTTTGATTCCTTAAGTCCCTATGGAGGGGGATTCCCCTATCAAACAAACTCTCCTCCCTTCCTCACCTTCTTCCATATGCCAACAAGTGTCTTCAATAAAGGTATGTAATGTTCATTTATTATTAAAATTAGTGGTTTATATTTCTTTCTCATTGTTTTGTGTATGTAAAACTATAGTTAACGTTTAAAAAATGTATATTTTGTTAATATTTTTGGGTGTCTGGAATGGATTAATTGTATTTACATTAATTCTTATGGGAAATATTATTTCGGTTTTCGGCCTTTTCGGATTTAGGCTGACCTTCTGGACCGGGTTATGACTGATAACCGAGGGTCCACTGCATATTAAGTACATAGAATGGGGTATACCCCACTACCCATCACTGTACACAGATATACCAGCTGTATACTTGCATGTTGTTGAGTTGGTAGGAGGTATACTTTTTACAATTGCTAACTTTTTTTTTTTTTTTTTTAATGCAAGAGGTTGGTTGTAGGGTGCTTGCTGAGGTGGTGGTTGCAGGGCACTTGATGTAGTTTGGCTACAGTCCTGTAGTTCTTGGTTGGCTTAGCTGTTTCTGAGGTGGTATCGTGTTTAGGATGTTTGCAAATGATATAAGGTTAGTTGTAAGTCATAGATTATTTAAAGTAAAGTCTCCCTAAATTGGGATATTATTATCCTTGGTGAACATAGAATGGTTCAGATGTTACCCAATCTTCTATCTCATCGGGAACATTACTCAGGATCATTGGCCTCGGGAAGTTCTCCTTGTGGACGAAGCACTTGACTCTTTGTTGAAGGGTCATCCTTTGGATTCTGTAGGGAGGTGCGTTGATGAAGTAGTC